TATTTAATCCCATTCTATTAACCAATGTCTTTGCTTCTGACCTTCGATGATCCAGTTCGACCATACTAATAAGCACAAATCAGTCTTTTTTTATTGCTGAAGTGTGTTGAAATTTCTTCTTCTGCATTCTACTGTATGGACGTAAATGTACTTTCCCTTCAGCCTGAGGCTTATTCATTTCACTTTTGGTGTGAAAAGGCTTTTATATTTGCCAAAAATATAACTTTTTTATTTTAAAAATAAACAAGCAAGCCCTGTGCAGATTTAAAAAAGTAACGCAAAAGTAACGTAACGCATTACTTTCTATAAAAAGTAACTAAGTAACGTAATTAGTTACTTTTTTATGGAGTAACGCAATATTGTAATGCATTACTTTGAAAAGTCACTTTGCCCAACACTGGTAGTAAGCATGTTTATCATGTTACTCTTGATCAAGTTCAATAAAAAAATCTGAGCAATGTACTTTTCATACAGGAGAAATAATGAGTATTTAAAGAGGATAAATATGTAGTAATAATAATAATAATAATTTTAAATAATAATCTTTGAACCTTGAAAAAATATGGTAGAAACATTTTAGGTTTTATGGATTGATCATTAACTGATATAATGTTAAAATACCAACCTACTGAAGTACTAACATCTGTTTTATATTTTTGCAATACACTAACAACCAACAAACACAGATGGTAATAAGAAAGCCACATGATTAATCAAAGCTCATCACCAGTAGCTTTTCCACAAGCTGAGATATATATTATTCCATGGTCTGTCTGAATACTGGATTCTGATTGGCTGGCAGGTATGCAGTAAAACCGTTTAATGCACAGGTAGTTCCACGTCAGTTTAATCACCGTTCTATATCAATGCGCTGCTTTAATTGATGCATACTAACCAACAGGCATCACTCGCTCGCTCGCACACACACACACACACACACGGAGAGAGAGAGAGAGAGAGAGAGAGAGAGAGCGAGAGGTCGGAGATCGCAGATTGTGCTGCACACCAGGAGCGTAGCCATCATTTCAGAAGTGAGGGGGACAGAAATGTATATATATATATATATATATATATATATATATAAACATTTCTGTAATCTATATAATACATAATGAAACAATTAGAAGCCAATTTAGAAAGGATAAGGCAATTGTGAAACATATTGTATCCGCGTGGAAACATGGTTTACTGTAGCTATATGGAAAATAGCCAAGTGTTCCATGCAGGAGACAAACGAATTTTACATAGTCACACATGTAACAGTTATCCTAATTTAACACAAGACACACGGTCTAAAATGCATAGCATCAACAACCTTTTACCTAAGTATTTCAAAGAACACTTACAGCAAAGTAATCATGTTTTAGAAAATAAACTTAACTAGCTTATGTGCACATGTAGTCGCACAAACAACTGTACAGTGTGCTCTATGGGCACAATGTGTTTAACACAATTACACTTTTGAATAAAAACCAAAATGCATACCTGACAGCAGAGAGACACACAGTAGTATGTGAGTTCTGGTGCAGAGCTCCAGATTCACATACGCTGTGGGGGATTTCAGCAAAAGCTGATCACAGATATCGATTGTTTATTAATTTAGATATTTGAGTATTCTGTAAATCCCATACTTTCAATTATTCATTCATCAGGGACCCAATGCCGCTTAGAGATACGCGCCCCGGGTTTGCGGTAAACTCACGGACGCAAACTAGCCAGTCTGATCTTAGTCAGAGGGTGTAATAAGTTAGCTAATACCTTTTTGTCGGTTGCCTACTGCTCACTCTTACAAAAAGTGTACTTAATTTAGCCACTTCCATACATCTTGCTAAATCAGTGATAGACAGAAATCAAAAGGTCTTCAGATGTAGTGCCTACTGCTCCTTTCATTCATGTGCTTTTAGTTTGTACTATCCTGGACATAGATTTACGGTAGCATTAGCTCCTATGATTTACTGGTCATAATTAATTCAAGAAAAGTTCAGAATAAATCAAATATAACAATTTATTATTAGTCAGGTAAAATTGTATCATGCCAATTACATAATGAAACAATTAGAAGCCAATTTAGAAAGGATAATGCAATTGTGAAACATATTGTATCCGCGTGGCAACATGGTTTACTGTAGCTATATGGAAAATAGCCAAGTGTTCCATGCAGGAGACAAACGAATTTTACATAGTCACACATGTAACAGTTATCCTAATTTAACACAAGACACACGGTCTAAAATGCATAGCATCAACAACCTTTTACCTAAGTATTTCAAAGAACACTTACAGCAAAGTAATCATGTGTTTTTAAAGAATAAACTCAACTAGCCTATGTGCACATGTAGTAGCACAAACAACTATACAGTGTGCTCTATGGGCACAATGTGTTTGACACACATTTTTGAATCGTACCTGACAACAGAGAGACATACAGCAGCGAGAGTTCTGGTGCAGAGCTCCAGAGACTTTCACACACTGCATGGGGGTTTTTCTGACTATAGAATCCCAAAGACTGATTTGCAACATTCCCTTAAATACTACCAGAACAAAAACAAAGAAATCTTTAAATCAGTTGTAAAAACATCAAATACCTTTTGGTCGTTTAGGTTCCCGTGCTCCAGGGTTGCACCTGGCTGGAGATAGATAA